GAGGAAGTTTGTTTGTTTTTTTAAACATTTTTTGTTTTTATTTTACATATCTTTTCGGGATGCTGAAGTGAGCAGACATTAGCATTGTTTGCAAGAGTCGTGCAGTTTTTGTGTTTGCTTCATGAATTCGATTTGTTGATCAAGGATTTCTTTTTGCCAGATTGGGTGTAAACAACACTTTCGATCTTTTAAGGGGGGGGGCAGGGCAGCGCAAAAAAAACATTTTCAACTGCACTGACAACATTCAAACAACATACCAGGGGAATGATCACAAGGGTTCACCGTAATGTTCTTGCGTCGCAACACGATTCCACAGGAAACGGGCGTTGTGACGAGTAAAAAATCCGTAGAAGTGCGGCTTCAAGTATGGCTATGCTGTGCCGCGAATTGATTTTGCCTTTTGATTTGCAAATGTTATTCCTTGTCACAGCCTTTGTTTTATGTTCGGAGTGGGTGCGTGTAGACACGATCATTGCGTTGGACGTGATAGACACGACGGCTGAACGATGTATTGCGGAAAATGCAGCGACGCAAAAGCTTGTCAGTCAAAGTACGTGAAGGTTGGCCTTGCAAATCTCGTTGAGCACTTGAAAGTTTGGTTACTGCGCCAGAATTCCCATGAATTTCATTTTGCTTAATGTGCCGAGCTCGCCAAATTGCAGAATTGCAGACAGCTCTCACAAGTAATGTGCAGATAGAAGAGGCTAAAATCAAGAAGGTTGCAACGGCTTGCTCTCCAACATCAGTGCTGCAACCTGCCGCAAGCGACCGCCTTTGCACGCTGGAGCAAGTGACCGCTCGTGACCCCACCGCAAATGCGCTGCAAGTGAATCCAGCAAGTAGCCGCCACTGCCCGCTGAAGCAACTGACCGCACGTGACCCCACCGCAAGTGCGCCGCAAGTGACTCCAGCAAGCAACAGCCACTGCCCGCTGGAGCAAGTGACCGGACGTCACCCCACCGCAAATGCGCTGCAAGTGAACCCAGCAAGCAACCGCCACTGCCCGCTGGAGCAAGTGACCGCACGTGACCCCACCGCAAGTGCGCCGCAAGTGACTCCAGCAAGTAACCGCCACTGCCCGCTGGAGCAAGTGACCGCACGTGACCCCACCGCAAGTGCGCCGCAAGTGACTCCAGCAAGTAACCGCCACTGCCCGCTGGAGCAAGTGACCGCACGTGAGCCCACCGCAAGTGCGCCGCAAGTGGCCGCAAGTGACTCCAACAAGTAACCGCCACTGCCCGCTGGAGCAAGTGACCGGACGTGACCCCACCGCACGTAGGCCGCAAGTGACTCCAACAAGTAACCGCCACTGCCCGCTGGAGCAAGTGACCGCACGTGACCCCACCGCAAGTGCGAGTGGCCGCAAGTGACTGCAGCAAGTAACCGCCACTGCTCGTTGGAGCAAGTGACCGCAAGTGACGGCAGCGAGTGCAAGTGACCGTACCGCCAGTAACCACAATAAGTGACCCCTTAAGAGACTGCTGGAGCACGTGACCGAAGTGACTGCCACCGCGTGCTGGAGCAGGTGATAGCAAGTGACCACCACTGTCCGCTGGCGCAAGTGACTGCACGTGACCGCACCGCAAGTGGCCGCACTGCATGCGGTCACATTGGATGCTAGCATTTCATGCGCATGAGATCGTTTCATGCGCATGACATCATGTCATGCGCACGACATCATTTCATGTACGCTTCATGATTTCATGTTCACGACATCATTTCACGGGCAGAGTATTATTTCGGCTGCTGTTAGTATTATTTCGGCTGCTGGTAGTAAAACTACAATATTCCCATGAGAAGTATTACTTCATGCGCATGACATCATTTCATGCGCATGACATCATGTCATGCGCACGACATCATTCCGCGTGCACCGTATCATTTCATGGAACTGACATGAATGTTGGGGTTCCACTGACTTCTGCGACCCGGTGTATGGGCCTTTGAATTTTTGCACATAGAAAGAGCCGTTTATCACAACAGATGCTTTTTGCATAATCGGAGCCTATTCCTCATGCACCACAAGCGGACGCAAACAACCCAGGCGACCAGTGACTTTCAGAGAATTTTTGAACATTTTTACATCTTTGAACAGTCAGTGGATATGAACAAGCGCTGCCAAAAAAGCTTTAAATGAAATGGCCAAATCAATTTTTTTGCCCTTGCACATACACGCAATTGAAATATGAGGCTGGATTTGAAGCTTTTCAAAGAGCTCCAGATTTGGTGGCAGCTTGCTTGGACGACCCGAAGATGAAGCCACCTAAGCCCTTCATAGTCTTGAAGGATTTTCCTTATTTCGCAGAGATCCTCGCAGATCCTCGTTTCGTTTTGAGTCACCACAAGCTTCTTTCGAGTTGCTTTGCATCGAAATACACTGTTTTCACATATTTTCACCACAAGCGTTGCATTGCTGGATTTGCTGTTTAGGTTGGCAGCTACTTTCGTGCGGATGATCAACGAAGCAATCATACACTCTTACGTCAAGTGTTGCGACCTATGGCAAACACAGGTCAATGCAATGCATGGCTAAGCCAAAGAAGGCAACTGCGTAGGAAGGAAAAAGCCAAGCGCAGTGTCCGTGCTCTGAGGAAATCTTCATTTTGATTGGGTCTGCGCATTCGTGTTTACAAGGGGGGCAGCATATGTTACAACCTGGATCCATAAATTTCATGTTTTAGCCCTTGTACGGCGTCCCATTGTAAAGTCAATGAAAAACAGAATCTTAATGCTTTCCCTTTGAATCTTGTATGTGCGTCTATATGATGGACTACAATTTTTTCCCTTTAGGAAATACTGCTGGCCATATTGTTCGGAGATCTCATTTTTGAACATTGCTCTGTTTGGGGTCTACGCTGATATAACTTAAACTAATCATTATATCGAATTGATATATTCAATATTCATTCAACTGCCGGTGAGCCAGTCGTCTCGCCCGTGTTGGGCCGCATGCAAACATGGGCACTTCGGGAGCGTCATTGACTATCAAGATGCTTATGCAAAATGTTTGGAAATGAGCGTAGCCAGCGCCGTGTTCTGTGGCGCTTGGGAGATCAAAGATAGCGGTCGACGGAACTCCATCTTGGTCGCTGACCATGGGGCAAGCCACAACATATAGATCTCTTCGTAGAAGGTCTGATCCCGCACAAATCGACCAGGTGGTCTATTGTCATTGCAAAGCAGGCCACTGCCAGGGTTGAACAAGACCGCTTGATAATATATATTTAAATAAATATATCCTATCGTTTTTTTCACTAATATATAATACATATATTATTCAATAATATATCCTTGTATATGAAATAGATAATATGCATTTTTAAAAATCATATAATTTCCTCAAATATAGATATTTATATATGTATATATATCAATTCATATGATAATTAATCAATATTCAATATTCTTTCATCCTTAAATAACCATTCTTCACGGAAAAATCAAATATCTTTCGTTACCTCATTGCGAATTATAATCCGATAATCATATCATTTTAATATATAGGTCGGAATATATCATAATATCCCATGCATTCATTCAATTGCCGGCGAGCGTCTCGTCTCGCCCGTGTTGCGCCGCATGCGAACATAGACACTTCGGTGAGCGTCATTAGCCATCGAGATACTGTTTAGTCAAAATGCGAAATGAACGTTACAAGTGCCGTGTTCGGTGGCACGGTATAAAGCAACGCCAAGGATCATTTGAATTCCATCCTAATTTAGAATATACCAAAATAAGGATATATATTTTGCAACACGACCCCAATAGAAAATTAAATATTTTCGTAACTTTCAGGGTCATTCGCAATATCTATAGGATAATTATGCCAAATAAAAACGAAATAATTCAATTCAATTCTCGTGCCACCTACCAACACAAAAAGATATAATTTAGGACATATTAAAGAAATTCAAGCTAAGAATCTAAATTTTTTCGATATATTTGCAAAATTTCTACGATTCTTTCGTAATATTTTATTTATATTCTTTTCAAGAAATCATTAATTTTGCAATTATCTATATAACCCAAAAAGCAATTCCAAATCATTATCCCCAATAATTATCAAAATTCAATTTATTCAAATTCTTATTCTAAATATAAAAATCAAAGAATCCTTTAAATATTATTACTACTAAAAAATAAATCATATTCTAATGTTTCTATTTTTTTTATCAAATTAATAAACCATATAAAAATAAAAATATTCGAAATAAATCTTTCACGAAAAATTACCAATATTTTCGCGAACCTCATCGCGAATAATTCTAATAACATCTGAAAAAATAATCTATATAAAATTCCGTATATAATTGGCTTCCAAAATATCTTTTCCCAAAATGGTGCATTCATCGCAATTCCATGGAGGCCCGCTTATAAATATCCTTTAAATTCTTAAATATAAAAATATCAATTACAAAAATAATAATAGATATTCAGCGCGGACCTTTTCAGAATTCTATTAAATTATTGTTACTAGATTTTCCATTTTTTATTATCAAAAATCTTCAAACCGACATAAAAAAATTTAGAATATTAGATAAATAAATAATCAACAAATAACCCGTCGTCTAACGATATTAATACGAATCTATCGTATCCTATCAAATTCTTATTCTTTTGTTTTATTTTTTGTTCTATCTTGCTTATTATTTTTTCCTATTTACCTATTTTTTTTCCCAATTTAATATCAATTTAATAATACCTTATTACATCATCATAATCTACTAAAAACCCGCTTCAAAATGAAAATTCAAAGATTAATTTCCAATTTAAAACATAACATTATATTTTTAAATAAGACTTTTTGAACGCAATCCATATATTTTTTTAAATAAATTACCATAAAACAATAACAATCTATTTTTTTTAAAAATATACTATAAGTTAATTAATTTCATAATATAAATATAATTCTAATTTTCATTACACAATTAAAGATTATTAAAGACATATAGATTATTACAATATAATTCTTATTAAATCTTATTCATTCTTGATCCTTTATTTTCCCGCCAGCTGAAAACAACACTGGGTCTTGAGTGGGTCAAGGTTTGGATCCAACAAAGAACATCAATCGCCGGCAACGACCCACTCCTGTACAAGCTGCTAAGCCTGCAAAGCCTAAAGCTCCTAGTCATCCTAGTCCACCATCACCTCACTCAGTGCGCGCTTGGTGGAGACGGCAGTTGGTGCAGAACCTCGCTCAGTTGCGGTGGACAAACCCGGCCTCTCGACTCTCTTCCGAGCGTTCTTGTATCTTTTACTTCTTTAGACCCTTTTCTTTCGCATTTTTCGTTTTACATTCAAGAAGGTCTTGTGTCCTCCATTTCGAGTACAACTTTCACAACTGTCTGGAATGCTTTGTGCACTCCTCTCTACACTTACAAAAACAGAACTGACTGAAAGGTCCAAGTCTGCGATTTTGAACACGAACTCTCGACTCTTGCCCGGCTGGGAGCCCTGGCCACCGGAGACAAAACTGGACCCGGGTCCAGCGGTGCCTAAGTTTCAGTGCTCGTTGAACGAAGTTGTGTGATGTGAAGCAGTGTGAACATGGCACTACCACGCTTTCTGAAACTTCAAAGAGCTTCGAAAGGTATCATTTTTCTCGTTCCGTGGACTTTTCATTGTTATGTTCAGTCCAAGATGGCAAGTTCACAGTGTACTGGACGCTCGACACCATCCGTTGTCTGAGGAAGATTTACGTTGAGCAATCAAGCCCAATATTCTAGTCCATTGATTCATTGATGTATGGATGGAACAAGAAGCTATTAGAAACAAGTGCCACGCTAGTAGTAACAAGTGCCTTACTAGTAGTAACAATGGATGGATGGATTGCGATCAATGAGTGACCTGATCTGTTCACTGAGGCAGGACGGTGTTTCATTCACGACGGTGACTCTCAAGGTCGTTGGGTCGGAGATGCAAAGCATCACTGCAACCGCCATCCGATGCTTGCACCAGTAAGGCAGAAGAAAAGGTCCAAAGGTGTAAAAAAACAAAAGAAATCAAGGCAAACAGATATGAAAAGAAACACAGAAACATAATGAAACACCTGATAAACATGACATTGATAAACATATATTAAGGTCCCAGCTCACCGAGACGAAGAGCTGGTCTGGGTCAGTGAGGAGAGTCCTGGGTCGGGCGGCCATATCGATCGCTTCAGGGAACAGTGGCATACCGTGGGAAGCAAACACCTAGCTTCTTGTTACTAGTAGCGATGGCCTCCAACCTAGTAGCCTCTTGCTACTAGTAGGCAATCCCAATGTGGAAGCAAAAAGGCTTGTTTTCCGTAGACATTTCCATTCGCACTCTTAAGGACCTCCTGAATGCATTTCAAGAATCAATCTTCGGAGGATTTGAGCTGAAGGACTACATGAAGAGGTACTATGCAGGTTAAATCTTTCTCTTCCGTCGCTTGACAACCGAAATTGCTCAGTTGACGGCAAGTAGGCATTTTGCACATCCCTCCACGTCAAAGCATTCAACCTTGGTACTGTGCCCTAAGAGGAGCGTGGTCACTGGCGGAACACGACGACGATGATGGTGTCACCGTGGTCACTCTCAGTTCGCCACATCATCTCAATGTCTCTAACGCAGCTGATATCCTGCCCAAGAATAACATCCATAAAGCCAAGCCAAAGCAGCGAAAGCAGCTCTCCTTTGGATTAGTGTGCTGCAAATGACTGAGAAGAGAAATCCAGTACCTCAGATTCAGCGGTCCGTGCCAGTCAACATGATTGGTCAACGTTTTCAACATCATGTTTCAGCATCGACCGCCGTGTTTTGGCATTGACCGGCACCCAGCAAAAACAGGCTGAGTGGAGGCACTCGTTGCTTTGAAGGTCAGTCTCATGTCGACGCACCAAAGTCCTGTGCGACGACAGAAACACCGTGGAGGTGTGGGATGAAATGGAAGGAACAAAGGATGCATCTTTCGAATCACATTGATGTGGTAGGAAAATGTAGGAAAGAATGCATGCACCACACAATTGTTCTTTCGTAATTGATACCAAAAAACATTAGACAAACACATCAAATTAAACATAAACACAGTAAACAAAAGGAACACCCTTCAACTCGTTACTACTAGTAACAAGTGCCTCGCTAGTAGTAACAGGTGCCTTACTAGTAGTAACAAGAAGCTATTAGAAACAAGTGCCACGCTAGTAGTAACAGGTGCCTTACTAGTAGTAACAAGAAGCTATTAGTAACAAGTGCCACGCTAGTAGTAACAGGTGCCTTACTAGTAGTA